ATATGTTGGGTGCTTCTGTGCTGTAGCTCTGCTTGCCTTGCCTTCCCAAACCAGTCTAATCATTTAATGTCTTAAGTGGTGCTACCCTTCTAAAATGCAATGAAAAAGCCATCTATATAAAAGCAAAAGCCAGCTAGGGATAAAGAATTAGCACTTAAATATTGATTTTCCCTTGTAAGCACTCTAGCAGTGTCAGTGTTATTGCTGCCAGTGCAATCTTGTGCTTATGCTATGTTGCATATCCACAATACATTATGCAGCAGTCTTAAAATTCAGTATAAAATAAAATAAAACACTAAATGTTTACTGATGTTCACTGAATGCACGCCTTTAGTTACTTCTTTGTTTTGACCTGCTGCAGTCAAGTCATGCTCTTCTTTACTAGTTCCCCTTGCTGATGCTTCCAAACTCTTCTCAGGGACTCATCAACCCCCTCTGAAATACTCAACTTCTTGCCACATGCAATTCCTGTGGTGATGCTTTTGCAGCGTTTCTTGCTGGAATTGTAAAATGGAGCAGGGTTCATTCACCACAGCCAGCCTGGCCTCTGTCTGTTTTCAAGGATGTGTTCAGGGTGGATAGATGGGCTGCAGATGGTGCTTGTTGTGTTTCTTGGGAAATTGCCATTGGTAAAGATGTCATTGATGGATGTAGCAGAGGAATTTCTTTCTCACATCACCCCATCACCCTTGCTGTTTGAATGCAACGAGGGAGACTGCAGGGAGACTGCAGAAAGCCGTCTGAATGACTCCACTTTTCTTTTTTTCCAGAGACAAAGGAAAGGCGTGCAAGCAAGATTAGATTATTTCCAATCACATTGTACGTGTGTTGACAGTCTCCTTTCAGCAGCAACCAGCAGCTTGCAAAGAGCAAGAGGCAGGGCTGGAACTGCTGTTGCCCTAAGTGCTGTTTGTATAACACAGCAACTGCTTATTGGAGTTCTCAAAGCAGCCTTTACATGTTTAATCCCTTGCACTTGAGCTACTCTTAATCAGCTTGAAAGCAAATTCCTGTAACAGAAAGGTTTCATTTGTGTCTGGGACTTTCTGTATTGTGTTTAGCCTGCAATGCCATGTCGTTACACACTGGCAGGCATGTCACCCTGCTCAGCCCTGGGGATGGGCAGTGCACGCTTATTCCAGTCACAGATTCTGAACTCGGGGAACTTTCACATGGGATCTTGGCTGATGGTCTTTCAGGTGCAGGTAACTCCTTCTGAAACCCCCTTTGTACAGCAGTTTAAAGTGTAGTTGACTTTAGGGTTTCCCTTAAACTTCACCTCTGATTTCTGCAGATTTACACCAGCAGTAGCTAAAGCTCCCTGTGCTTTTAAAAACTGTTAAGTTTTCATCTTTACCAGCCTGAGTTGGCATTGGATGTAGCCCAAGGCGTAGGGAGGTTAACATTTTGCAGCGCTCCACATGAACAAATTAGTTGATCAAGGAGGCAAGAATTACTAATCCCAGGTTGTTGTTATTTTGCTTGTTAGAGCAGATTCAGCCCTTTCTCCCCTGTCTCTCGCACTCAGTCATCATTCATCCCCCAGATCAAGACGTGTCTCACTGTCTGTTCATTTAAGAAAACCTCTCAATGGAAGAAGTCCAAAGTGTTTGGTTAGAAAATAAACAAAAGTTGGCATGCTGAAAAGGGGTAGCGCTCTGCGTGGTGGAGAATGGCAGATGTGATCCAGCCTTGCCGTAGCATGGCTGAAACATGAATCATTACAAATGTCAGATTTCCTGTGAAGGGACAAGCTGAACTGACATGCGTTCAGGTTTAATTAAGGTTGAATTATTGGAGCTGACTGTCAAGTCTTAGGCAAATTGGCTCAGCCTGTTATCATTAAGCATGAAAATTACTCTAGGACTTGGTAAAAATAAACACATTTTTGCCTCTAGAACGCTGTGGTGTGGTCGGGTGGGCCTGTGTGTTTTTTTGGGGGGCAGTTGTGCTCAGCTCCATGGACCCATCTGCTCAGAAGGGCTCAGGATGAGGAGCCCAGGAACAGAAATTTCTGAAAGGATCTCAATGCAACCTGATCCAGCTTGCACAAAAGGCAGTGTTTGGTTGCTTTCCTTGGGCCATCTCCATCTGTGGGCAGCAGTCAGCCTGGTCAGAGCTTGGGCACACAAGAGGGTAGTTCCCTTGGAAGGGATATTCAGGCATCCTATGGAGAAACTGCAGAGTTTTGAGACCCTGATCAGAGTGGGCAACATCTCTCATTAAAATCAGTAACTTTCTGAGGGATTTCAGCTCAGAGACTTCCATATGTGCATCAGAGCCATCAGAAAGGGAAATGGCAAGTCACCAAACCAGAGGGCTTTGCCCATTCCCGGGTGGTGGCTCGGAAGGCTTGGGGATTCCGCTGGCTCAGAAGTTTCTCCACCCTTGCCCGTGGATTCACACCGTGTCTTTCCCTTCTAAGAGCTTCTGCTTTTGTGCAGCAGAAGGAGAGAAGACACTCACGCTCACGCCTGCAGCTTTTCCAGGAAAGGGGGGAAACAAGCATGTGGATATTTTCATTGTTGTCAAGAATGAAGCACGAAAACATTGCAGTGCTGCAGCCTGAGAGATGGGAGTTGGCAGCAGAAATTAGTCATTTACCCCTAGAACTAACAAACACAACCAGGCTGGCTGGTCAAATCAGTCAGCAAGGGAGCCTGAGCTTTTGCTTTGAGAAAATTGCAAATGAGAACTAATGCTGAAACCACAGGGAATCGATAGTTGTACATAAAACTGGTCAAACAGCTGCTTTTAATGTGGGACTTCATTGATTTGTTTTGGATCTAATTGACTTTTTACTCAACTAACTTTTGTGGTGCCAGTGTGTTTTGAATATACACCATTAGTCTACATTGCCCATAATTACCCAATATGAAGTTTAACTCTGTAGGAGGAGGCCTGTTGGGTAGAAAGAGCTAATGGGCTCTGAGGAAACCTGTGCTCAGGAATGAAACCCAATTGCTTTTAATGGGTAGCTCCTGAAAAACAGTGGGATCTACAGCTGGGAACACACTTCCTCCAAAATTCGGTGTGGGGAGCCCTGGCTTGACTAGGCAATGACAATTTTTCAATTGTTTGTAATAAAATCTGAGGAAAATTTACAAACATAGGGGGCATTGTAAGAACTAATGGTGCACAAGAGCGATGAGAATTTGATTTTAGAAATAAATTCTAAATAGCACTGGAACCAAGTCTAGTTACATCTCACAACCAGGGTTCCTGTGATGCATGGGAAATAAATTCACTGAAATGAGAGTTAGCCTTATATTTATTGCAGAGAATAATGTAGGACCTCCAGACATTGTGTCAAGCCTGTGAAGATGTATAAGGTGCTGTAAAGTACAGGGTTGATAGTACTTCTTGCCAGCCAAAACACCGGTGTTTGGAAAGGCTTGTGTTCCTGTTATTTGTGGGTTTGAGGCCACAAGACCTCAGACATTTCCATCTGATAAATATAGTTCATATGTTTCCCTTCGTCCTCTCCTCACATTCTGAATTTATACATATGCAGTGATGCCTTGATTGATTGAGGGCTGAAGGAGATGGTGCTGTGGTGAGAGTGCAAGCAGAGCCAGAAGCAGTGTGGGAAGCTGCCTTTTATCTCAGGGAAGGGGAGATGCCATCACCACGTGGGCACTTTGGGTACAGAGCAGGAGCTGGTGTGCTGCAGGCTCTGATTCATCGCTGCCCTCCTCTCATCTGCCGCCGGCACGAGGGTGCTCAGGGCCTTGGAGCAGCAGTGAGGGCTCTGGCCTCGCCTAGGCTGGTTCACAAATGCCTGGTCAGAGCATCTGCACGACCAGAATTAGCTCATGGGGTGTGTTGTGTGTTATTTCCACCTCCTACATCAGGAACTGGCTCAGTCCTTTGATGAGACGGGAAAATTTCAAAGGTGGAATTTGTTTGTGAGGGTGTTGGGAGCGTGTCAGTGAGAGTAGGTAGCACCTCTCGCATGTCTGCAAGCCAGCAGAGTGCAAACAGCCCCCAGCATGTTTTGGTGGGTCACAAAAACACATATTCTAAAAGTCAGAAGTGCTGTGTGTGCACGGTGGGGCGTGTGCATGTGAAACACATCCACAGCATCAGTTCTTGTAACTATTGAAGAGCTTTCCTTGGATACACAGATTAGGTCAAAAAGGGAGTTACAGTGGGAGTTGAATTGCTTTCATGTTGGTCTTTTCAGTTGTCTTTGACCTTTTGGATACTGCTTGATCTGAAACATCTCTCCTCTCTTCCCTTTTTCCTTTCCAGCCTTCTAACCCTTTGGGCTGCTTTGTTTAGCTTAATTATGAGAAATGGCAGTATTTGGCATCAGAGGAGTAATTCCATATGGAATTCCCCACTGGTGCATTTTGCAAGGTCACAGCATTGCTGATGTTTTGGCGTGCCGTGCTTTCGCTGTGCACTGCTCAGGGTGAGCAGGACTCCACTTGGGTGCTCACTGAACTTCCCACACAGACATCCCAGGCAATCTCCTCCCTAGAAGACAGACAAGGTTATCATTAAGGATTAGTGCTTGGTTCACAATGTGTCGTAGCTGGAGCTGAGCCTAAATGCAATGTGGGTTACCTTGAAAGAGCATCGAGAAAGTGAAATCTCATGATGGTCAGGCTCGTGTTCAGGAGTTCATTATCAGCCTTAAAACTTCCATGGAGCAGGAAATACTGTAGCAGTAACTTGAGACATGTTCCCACTCCTGCTGTAGTAACCCTGGGACTGGGAAGAAGTCACAGAGCTGCGTGTTCTCTGTAGTGTGCATTCATTTAATGACAGCTAAGTCTCTCACACACATGCTGAAAGTACTGTGGACTGACCAGTCAAGGACAGCAGAAGGACAGACACAAACACACATCCATCTTGTGGCAGCAGCGCTCCCACGACGCTCCCACGAGCTCCGACATGACTTGTTTTTTTCCCAGGCATGCGTTCCACCAAGCAGGGAAAGAAATGCAAACCTTTCACCGTGCGCTTTGTTCTTTCTCTCGTTGCTCCGTAAGGTCCCACCTTGAATGACAAGCCAGAAGCGAAAGCAGCCAATGTCCCAAAGGTGTCTGGGCTAGAGCGGAGCCGGGAACTGAGCACCGACGTGCCCTTCGCCCTGCCCATCCCCAGCCCCCAGCCAGTAGCTGCCGTTGTGACTTCTACTTCCTCAGCGCCCACATCAAGTGCCAGAGCGAGCCCACTGTTGAAGAAGGAGCCAGTGATTTCAGCACCAGCACCACCAAGGCTCACGCCTCAGCCGCAGCCTCGGCCGCAGTCACAACCTCAACCTCGGCCGCAGTCGCAGCCTCAGTTAATCCCTGACCTTCGGAGCCAACCTCCGAGCCACATCCCTCCGCCTCTCAACTACCAAGTGCATCACCAGGTGGCCCACAACGGACTCAATAATATCAGGTAGGGGGGAGGGACGCTCGTGTCGTCCTTACGCTGCTGCTGGGCTTGTTTCAGGTGGGGTAGGAATAGTGTCTTACACTCATCTCTGTAAGATGGTCCATGTTTGGATGTTGGACTTTGTGGGCTGACTCCACAGGCTGGATTTTCCAGCAGCGGTGGATCAGTGCATTTGAAACACGTGATAAATGCTCCTGTTCTGGGGGAAAGGCATGTATGTATTCCTTTCAGTCCAGTTTCTAGAGAATTTTGCACTGTCTTGGGTGAGTTGGCTAATTCTCCCCTTAGAAATTTAAGGTGGTTTCAGTTTGAGCAACACTCTTGTTTCATGTTCAGAGGTACTCCCACTGAAGTCCGTGTGTTCTTAGTTATCAGGTTTTTTGGTTCACCTCAGAAGAGGGAGATCTGTTTTGGAGAAGGCTGTGCCCCTTCGAACAGGGCTCCCGTGTGGGCTGAGAAATCTGCTTCCCTCTAACATGTTCAGATCTAACAGGAGGCTTAGCTCTGCTGTTTTAAATTGCCTCCCTTCAGTAAGTGGGATGGGTGAAAATGGTATGGATAAAACATTTCTAGAGAAAAGAGTTTAGTCAGTCAACTGGAACCTGCATAGTCTTTTTGCTGGCACAGAAAACATGCCTTGCCTCCCAAACAAGAGCTAAGCTTGTTTAAACAAGATGAGAAAACTGATTTAAAGCATAATATTTGACTGCACAAAGGTCAGAATATGAATACAGATAGCTGCCATTAATGTGTATTTCACAGTATCCTGCATACTTAAGCTCTATTGTGGTTTTACCCTGTAAATGCCACCACAGTATAAATGGTGAATAATACTTCAAACTATTCAAGAACTCTCAGAGGTTTAGATTGAAACAAATAATCAGTATTGTGGGAATTACACAACTGTTAACTGCAGTGATAGTGTGTTTCAGCCCACAAAACTTAGATCACTTGCAGCGTGGTAATAATAACAGAAGAAGATGTAAAATACACATTATTATGAGAAAAATTATTAGCATGGTGTGCATTTGCCTGTGTGTGTGAGACTGCAGCTGCACAGCAGATACATCGTGGTCCCAGAGTCACTTGCACTGTGCAGCTCTGCACACCCAGAGCACCAGAAAAAGGGATGTGAATCATGGCATCACATGATCCTAAGGGCATACACGGCCACTGCCAGGTCATCAGAGGCTAAAGGAAGGTGCAACATGCAGCTGCCTCCGTGGCCATCGTCAGCATCTCAAAGATAGCCACGAGGGCTGTAGCACCAGAGGAAACGTCACTCCTGAGGGCCTGAGGCCCGTTCTGCCCCACTGCAGAAGTTCATTAAGATTTGTTAACTGTCTCCATTGCCACTGAGACAAGCGAAAGCACAGCTTAGGGAGATGGGTGTTCATAACTGTGATGTTTTTGCTAATGTATTCTCACACTGTGTCGGGTTTTATTGTAACATTCTCTTTCTCTGTCTCTCTCCCCCCTCTCCCTGCCATCTTTTTCTCTCTGCAGCCGGAGCAGCAGTGCTAGCAGTGCAACGAGCATCAGCCTCCCGAAACACCTGCCCCTGTCCCCCCAGATCCCTCCGCACCATTCCTCCGGCCCGGCTCTGCCCCTCTCCATCTCTAATCTTGCTACCTCGCACTTCTCTCTCAGATCGCAGGCCCAACACCAGCACCATCCGGCCATGTTCGCCACCCCACCCACGCTGCCACCTCCACCAGCGTTACCCACCAACAGCCTCGTGATACCAGGGCACCCTGCGGGTAGGTTCCCCTTCCTCTGCCAGGGCTGGTCTGCCGTGCATGCGCTGGAGGGTGTGGAGAGATGGGCTGGCTGGTGGGCAGGTAAAACAACCGTGACACAGCCCCCTCCACGGGCAGGGAGTGCTGGAGCTGGGACAGTGCTCCTGGAACAGGTAGGAGACCTGCACGTGCTTTACCAGAGGAGGGATTGTAGACACAGCGCTGTAGCTTCCTGTAAGAAGTTCTTCAGAACAAAAATTTTCAAAAGAAAAAGTCCCCTCTAGGGTGTGAGTTGTGCAGTGTGGCATTCCAGTCATCAGACGTTTTTTCAGATTACAAGGAACTGATGAGTAGTTTGCCATTCTCCCCTTCTCTCTTCCCCTCTCTAATGAAAGCTGCTACTGTTGGAACTGATGTGAAAATACTGTTTCTAACTGTCCCAGAGAGGAGCTGTAACTGAACACTTGAATCTGACTGAGTCCTCTGCTCTGATCCTTCAACCAGCAGCACATCCTGCTGGCAGAGCAGGATCCTCTGTGCTCTGACCAGTGCTCTGTGCCCATGGCTCTATGGCCTTTCTGTCTGAGTCAGGGGCAGCTCAGCTGACAAGCTCTGCTGTTCAACTCTCACTGTCTTTGCATCCTTTTAAAAAGTTTCCTTTGTTCACCCTGGCCCCCATTCTATTGTCACTTCTGCCCTAAACGCCCTGTTTATAGCTTATCCATTAGCCTACAGCTGTCCCTGGAAGAGACCCTGGCAGCTGGAGACTTCCCAGCAACTTTCACTTGCTGGGGCCTCCTTTTGATCTGGCATTTGACTCCACAACTAACTCAGCAGGGATTAAACAGGACAAGCATTTTGCAAAAAAACGCACCCTCTGTTTCCTATGGAGTCAGTTAAAGGAATAAGGAAAGGGCAAGTTTGCTGTGGAAAAATCTGATGGCCTTGCATCCCCTTTTTTTTTCTTCCAGTAGCTAAATAATGTCTCATTATTTATAACTGCTTCTTTAAGTGAAAGAAGAAACGTGAATTGGTCCAAAGTGAGCTCTCGGAATGATGATAGCCAAAAGTGCCGTGGGTTCCCAGCCAGAGACAGGACCACATAGGCCAGAGCTGGCGGCTTTCACGGGCCCTGGCACCATCTAGAATTTCAACCACATGGCTGGGAAGATGTTGGCAGCGCTGTGGGAGACCTATTCATTGCTTCCCCTGTTTAAGGCAAAGGACTACTGTGATGGAGGCTTTGAAAGCGTTGCAAAAGGAAATAGCAAAGCGCTCGCTAAAAGCATGATATTGCAGTCACTGAAAGCAAGTATGTTTTCACCATTAACTTCAGGAGGTGCAAGATCAAGTGACCTATTCACATTCAGCAGCTTGCCAGGAAACAGTAACAGTCTTGCTCCTACTAAAAGGATTTCTCCTGCAATTTAAGTAGGAGAAGCCTAAGTTAGTGGAGGGAAAGGTCTGGGCGTCTAACCCTGCAGACAGTGAAATGCCTCTTGTCTGCACTGTATGAAATGCCTGCAAAGTGGCACATCATAAAATCAATACAGAGTGCTGCAGAGCCGGGAGCTTCTGTTGTCATTCACATAAAAGTTTCTTAAAAGCAAACAATATATTTCTGAGCAGCCCTGAAGAGCGAGACAGGAATGCACTTCTGGGGGCATTTCTTCCCTTTGAAACCTAAAGCCAGTACAAGTAACACAGGAGCAAACCCTTGCGTGGGTTTCTGCCCTCCACTCAAGGGCACCAAGGCTGCTCTGGTGTGGGATACACAGAGGACACAGTGGTCTGTGTCTCTTCTCTTCTGAACGTGAGGGCACCGTGAGCAGGACTGACATTTTGGGGCCATGCCCGCCTCACATGTGCTCACAGAGAAGGGGTGTCTGGGCATCCAGAGGGCTGCTCGGGCTCTCTGCTCCTGGTTGTGTTATTACATGACTGGACCTGATGGATGAGGCACCACTGGCAGATACAAGAACTTAGTCCTGACCCCGACATTGCTTGGAGCCCCGCACAGAGCTGGGTTATTCCTTGGCCATCCCATCCTTGCCGTGAAGCAGCCGCTCCTCCGAGTGCCACACCGCTTCTCCAGACATCTCCAGGCCTTTCCTTTCGCTGACAGAGGCCAAAGTTGTGGTACAGGGCTATGGGCTGGAGCCAGCTGCAAATCTATCAGTCTGACTTCAAGTCTCTTAAAGAAATTGGATATCAGAGCACTTGGAACTGCCAGCTCGCTTTTATCTCTCCCTCCAGAGAAGTGGATTATCTTGATGCTAACAGAAGGATTCAGTTTCTTTAAGTCATGCCAGATTTAAATGCGTAAACACACGCACACATGAAATCATACTCATATTCTCTAAAGAGGTTAGGTTTTGGACCTAAGTGCTTTCAGCCTGTGAGGTTTTTTTCTTATTTGTTCAATCCAAGGAGAACCCATTATAGGCTCTTTTGCTCCAGTGCCTTAGGCTTCAGTATCACAAGTTATATATACTTTCTGCTTTTGAATTATTATTATGATTGTAGCAGTACACAGTACCTACTCTTAGCAGTACATTTATTACTGAAAAGCAAATGACTTAGGCACCCAAAATTGGCTTTGAAATGTGACTTTCAATAGGATGTAGGCTTCTAAGTGCTAGTAGAGGCCTTGAAGTTCCCCATCAGCGTGCCTGTTTTTAAAGATCTTAACCACATCACTTCAGAAGGTGATTGATTTAGACATTTCTAATGTTACTGTAGAAAATTGAACTAAAAGAAACCCCTGCAGAACATGAAATAAAACTTTAAAGTGCAGGTGTTCTTTTGCCCCTTTATATTCAGAGCTGTAGTTTGAAAGGGGTGTTACACTGAAAGAAGGGGATTCATGTAAATTCAGAAGCAAGTAGGTCAGTCAGGACTGGGTGTATGTCATCCACAGCTTTGGGCACAGGTTGCTCTTTGCTTAGAAAATATATAATGTTGAGTGCTGATCCCTGTTTGAAGTTCTTAGGCAAAGCCACAGATGGATTTAATTGATACCAGCAGATATTTTGGCCAAGTAGACAGTGGTCCTTAATGTCTTTAGTCACATAATTTCTAAAGTGCCAATATCTTCCACTGCCCTAAACCACATTCACCTTCAGTGGAAGTTGTTATTCCAGAGGAAGATGCTGAGAAGAGGCCACGTCCTATGGTGGAACATTTTGTTTCAGCAGTCATTGCAACCTTCATGACATCTTGAGCCAGTTCAGTGTTTCTCCTCTTCCCACTTGATTCCTGCTTTGTATTTTCTCACAGGAGAAAATCCCGGAGGCTATGACAAAAATGAGAATTACAACCTGTAAGAAACTGAGGAAAGGGCGGCTTGGTATTTAAGATCTCAAAAAAACACTTATTGGCCAAAGAAAGCCTCGATTTTTGATGGGTGTTTCTGGTCACTGTGTGCCTGTCTTGGGGCAGAGCAGGGTGGGCAATTTGTTGAAGAGCAGGTAGTTTCCAGCCACCCAAATGCATGGTTACCTTGGAGACCTTGTCAGAATTTTACCTCTTAAGTGTGTATATTTGGAGGGGCTGACACACAGACATCACACGTGTTAGGCCCAGCATCCCCTGGCAGCGTGTGGGTGCCAGCCCCCCATGGAAGCAGGTCAGTATGGCTCGTGTTCAGACCAGCCCTTGGCCTGCAGGAGGAGGAGTAGGAGGAGGAGGAGGAGGAGTGTCCTGGGGCGGGGTGTGCGGGTGGGGCCGGGCGGAGGTCGTGCCCCCCGCGGTGTTTTCCGCCGCGCTGCCCTCACGGCGTTCTCGTGTTTTCTGCTGTGCTGCCTCACGGTGTTCTCGTGTTTTGTTTTCTGCTGTGATGACTCATGGTGTTCTCTCTTGCCTTTAGATACCAGCCTGTTGATATCATTCAACCAACCAATCATGTATTGCCAGCCTCATTCGGGGATTCTGATTGGTACTTTGTCACAGGCATCTCTCTTACCTCCACCAATGAGTCCTCACGTAGAAAACCACCACAGCATGACCTGCAGAAACAGGGAATGCCAGGTGAATATTGACTCTTTCTCCTCCGTCTTTGTGGTACTCACAGGCCCACGGGCCTCTGTGTCTTTTTTTTTTCTCTCTCTCTCTCCTCTAGATCACGAACTGCTCAGGCAAGAGCTGAACAACCGGTTTTTGGTTCAGAGTTCGGACCGGGCCGCTGCCTCACTTGGCCCGGTGCCGCTGCTGAGAGCGGAGTTTCACCAGCACCAACACACGCATCAGCACCAACACACCCACCAGCACACATTCACTCCTTTTCCATCCAGCTTGCCCCAGACGCCGCTCATGCCGCCCTCTGCACCTCCCATGGTGCGTACCCCAGCCCAAAATGTGAGGATAAGTAGAGCATCTCTGGTCGAAAAGCCTAACCCACTCTTGTCAAACAAAACCCAGCCCTCTTCATTTCAGCCAGGCGTGCTGTCCCTGCCCTTCAGCACTCCTGAAGGGACCTCCTTTCCATCCAGAGCCCCCACACCAAGCCTCTGGGTCCCCCATGCTGCTACCCATGAGTAGATACAACACCCACGAGACAAGTCCAGAGTCCCTGTAGTTTCCTTTTCGTGTGTCCTGGTGTGAATTTCTATTCCCCCTTTCCCAGAGCCAGCTGCCATAACACACCACAAGACACCAACAAGGATGCCACGAGATGGGTGGCTTCCAGTCCCAAACACGGTCCCCATAACTGCTCAGTGCAGGCAGACTGTGCCGGCTTACCCAGAGCTCTCACCACAGCGCAGCATCTCAGGGGATATGAGTTTTGCCCCTTTTCCTCCTGATTCCTAATCTGTATCAGTTTTGGCATTTTATTACTTGATTACATCGACAACCACTAATTTGTGTGTGGCTGGTTCTGGTGGGAGAGATCCTCCTGGCCGTGTAATAAGCATTTTGTCATTGAATTTGCTTGTAACACAAGGAGACTTTGCTGCAGCTGTTACAAAATTGTTAGAGATCTGCTGCAAATGGATTTTGTCAGTACTTTAAAATGCACTCTCTCCCCATTTCTGGCGATTACTTTGTGAGATTGAAAGCACAAGATTTAGCTCTTTCCCCCTCTCTGTTTCACACTGTGTCCAAAATGCAGAAATAACCCTGCTCTGCTAAGGCTGGCAAGCGCCAGGAGCAACAGCCAAAGCAGCATTTGGGAAGAACTACCAAGGACTCCAGGAGCAAAAATGTTTCTCACTTTCCTTTCCCACTGCTGACTGCCCAGTGACATCCTTGGGTTGTAATCTGCTTAGCAGTGAGACAATTAAAAGCAATATCATCCGTCCAAAATCCAGCCCCAGGTGTTTGCTCAATGTACTCGTGTGTAAACACCTTCCCTCCTTTTCTCGGTCCGTGTAAAACAATCCTGAATCTTTTCTCAGAAATCTCCTGTGTCATTTAAGAACCCTGATACCCGAGCCTGTGAACAGCTCCCTCCCTCCCACCCGTGCCCGTTGATGTCAGCCCTCAGACCAAAAACAACTCGCAAGGCTCTTTTGTTATATTTCACTCACATCTTCTTATATTCCACTAGATCAGGTCTGCTAATCCCAACACCAGAGAAGAGTGTTGAAATTTACAGCTGCATGTGTTTGGTAATTTATGGTATTTACACTGGAGGGGACATGGCTCCAGTAATAACTGTAATTAATGAAATTACAAATCTACTCTCCTGCACGTAGAGGAGTGTGAAACAGCAGCTGACTTGCCAAATAAGCAGCTTTTCATGGGGTCCTACAGCTCCCTTCCCTGCCTTCTTCCCCGCTCCCTCCTCCCCAGCAGAGTGTACATACTGTTCAGAAATGCAATGTGTGTGTGCTTTGGTTTTGCTTCTGAGGGGGTACAAGACAAAAGGGGCACAGACTGCACCCATGGAGGTGGTAAAACCCCATGCTGGAATGGAAAAGGTTAGCAGTCACCTTTTCTCTGGGACACTCTCCCTTTCGCAGGGGAGGGGGAATGTATCGAGATTTGTGCATCTAAAACCATTAAGCCCTTTCCCAAACAATTTTGGTTCTTACGGGAACCCAGAGAAAGAGGAATTGGTATTGGTTGCCCCACAGCAGGGGGAAGCCCCCCCAGGGGCTGCTCTCTGTTAGCTTTGGGAGATCAGTGAGCTCCCTGATGAGCGAGTGTGGAATAACCAGTCAGTTCTGCTCTGTTAAATGCTGTGCACACGGGCCATGATTATTTGTCTGTGTTGAAATGCTGATGTGTCTGCTACTGCCAAAACCAAACTCACCTCTTTTCTTTTTTTTTTTTCTCTTTCCTTTCCAGTTCGACAAGTATGCTCCCAAATTAGACAACCCCTACTTCCGACATTCCAACGTGAGTGCCCACCTTTCCACTCGGTCTCTTTGTCAATGGTCCTGCTTGCTCTTCTTTTGCTTGTTTTCGGTCGATGAGTCGTGTTTTGGTTCATTCATTCCTAAAGCTCTTTTTTTCCGTCCTGATTTTTATGTTTTTAAGGTACAAAATTTTCTTTGGGCTTTTTTTTTATTTATTTATTTATTTATTTTTTTAAAAATCTCTGCCTACTGCGTTTTTGCTGCTGTGGCTCTGTATCGCTGTGCCTGGGATGGCAGGGAATGCGCAGGAATTGCTCAATCAGCGGTCATTGCAGTATCTTTGCAGCTGGTGCTTCTCCCAGTGCAGCAGCCCGGAGTGCATGGCTCTTTCACAAGGTTTTGCTCAGGTCACAGGAGTAAGTCAGACTGGTGGTTTCTTCCTGGTGCTCCCCACTGCTCCAAAGCACAAAAACGACATGTTTTGGGACTTGAAAAACTGCTGTATGTGCTCAGGAGAGGCCTAAGCAAAATTTAACCCAGCCTACACAACTGCAAGGTGGTGTGCATGCTGCCTGTGGTTAGAGTGCAGTGCAGCATCTTATGGTTCTTTTTTGCTTTGAAAATTAAAGCAAGTCACATTTCAAAACAGGATCGATTTGTTTGCAACTGCAGAAAAATGCAAAGTTAACGAAAAGGGAACATAAACCCCAAATTATGCTCTGTGCTTCCTGCAGTAGTCCACAATTTTTAAAGGCACACTCGTTCAGCACTATCTAGAAAATTCATCAGATGAGTGCATTTTCCAAGTTTTGGCTTTGCTCTTAAAAATTCCAAAAGCAAATTTAGCGTGTATTTTCACTGTGGCACTTGTTCAGCACAGTACTATTTTTGTGTGTGCCAGGCTTGGCACCTACCTCCATCATTGTTCAAGTCGTCCTGTGACATAAGCATCTCTTTTTCTTTTGTAGTTCTTTCCAACCTATCCTCCAGCAATGCCTGGAATGCCACCCATGCTTCCACATTCAGGTCCCTTTGGGTCACTTCAGGGAGCATTTCAACCGAAGGTACAAACTTCTTCTTCTGAAGGCTTTTGTTCTTTTGCTGGGAGAGAAACTGTGTTCAGAGTGGTGTCTCTGGTGATTTTGTGGCACATGGTTGAACCCGCAGAAAGGCAGCACAGGGTTGGAAGATCACCCTGCAGAACTGTGAGCATCCTGTGCACAAAGCAGCCAACACTTTAGCAGAAATTTTCTCTTGGCACTGCAGATCCTTCCTTGGAAATGGCTATAGTGGTTCACTTGGGAGGTCAGCTGAAACTGGAGGAGAAGCATACAGTCAGTGCGTTATTGGATTGAAATATTTACAGCTCGTAACAGACCACCGAGTCCCAAATCATTTTATAAATCTAATGGTCTGAGATTGCAAAAGAGAAATTGTGTTTATTCCCAGAAAAAAAAAGCAATGAGAATTTGACTGCACAAGTGTGGGAACAATAGGGAGAGACTGCTGTGAATGGGTAGAGCAATTTGAAGGGGCTGAATTTTTATTCCCAGCTCCAACACTGTCTGACCTTGGGCAAGTCGCTTAAACCTTCTGTTCCTCAGCTTCCTCATCTATAAAGTTATCTTGCAGTGGGTTTTAGAAGGGTTGATTAATGCCTGCAAGCTTCTTTGAGATAATGTGTTTGAAAGGTGCACTGCAGCTGTAACATGTCATTACAACTAGCACTGATTGGCATTTGGAAATGTTGCCATGATAACCCCCATTTTTGGCGAATTCTGTGGTGTGCACTGCTTTTTTCCCCCCTCCCAGACATGTTCTTTTTATTAACTATTTTTAAATGTGCGGAACTGTTAAGTCTCTCCAAACAAGAAAAAATGTGTTGTATCTACACAGTATTTGTTTGGAAATGGGGCATTTACTTCCTTTGTCAGGTGGCATGTTTAGCTTCCTCCCATGCTGTGATTTCAGAGGTTTCTTATCTCAGACTGCATTTCCTTGAGCTCTGCTCCTGTGTTAGAAGGCTTGAAGGACCAGCACTGTAGCCAGGCCGTTCCTGTTTGCATTTGGAAGGGGATTTCCATAACCATGCCAGGCAGGTCTGTGGGATGTGCTTCCCTCAGCAGTCTGTGCAAGTCAGTAATTAGCAAGTGCTGCAAATAAGGCTTCTTACAACCTTCCCCCTTAACTTAATGTTTTTAATGGAAGCTGGAGCATTTCGTCAGTGCCCCCCAAGCAGGAGTTCTGTATGTAGTGGCTGCAGGCCTAGGAAAGGATCAGTTCACCAAAACAGAGGGAGGAAGAGGGACAGAACAGAACCATCCCTTGATGGAGTTTGTCTGCCAGTGTTAATTGCTGTTATTCTTACAAGGGATGCCAGGGAAGTCCCTACAGACCCCGAGTTGTCAGGGTGTGAACTTGATCTGCCACTTGCACAAATAAGGTGGAATTGCCAAATTTTGCCAGCAACGCAGCTAGGGCTGTGTTTTGCCATAAAGCTGCTTCCTCTTAATGAGGAGCTACTGGTACACCCATGGCATGGTCTTCTGCTTTCCATCTTCATTACAGAGCTGGTCAGATTCCACCTCACTGTAGAATATATTCCGTTAGGCCTAAGGAGAAGCAGTTACATGGCGAGAAAGAAAAAGTGAGCACAGACCCTTTACATTTTTGAGCAGTTCCTAGTGCTGTGTTATAACTAGCTTTTCATTCATTTTAATGGTAGATACATCCAGCATTTGCTAGCTTGAGTTTAAGCAGCGCAAGGTCACACTCTGGTGCCATGGTTAATCACTGACATCACTTGATCTCTGGACAGTGCTGTATTTACATACAGTCTAGCATCTGAAAAAGAGAGGGGTAGGTTAAAAAGTGGATCTGCCACTTTGGCACATTATTTTACAGTTTCCTAGAGGAGACAGAGCTCAAGCTCTAGGCGAAGCCTCTCCAGTCATTGTTACTGCATCCTTTTTCCATGCTCTCTCCCTCCCAAGCTGTTTGACTAAAGCCTCCACAATCACTACAGAGCTGCTGACTCGGTTTTGGCACGCTGAATCCTGCCCTTCTTGCTTTCCAAAGCAGAGGTCTTGGTTTTGTTTTTCCCCTTCCCATGTCAGTTGCCTACAGCTGTGCGAGTCCACTGCACATAAATCCAGGCTGACGGTGAACTTCTCAGTGAGTTTCCCAAAGGCCATTTCTCACGAGCTAAGAACTTGAAAAGGTCAGAAGTATTCGGTTTACTTCGCTGGAGGAGGCATTCACGTCTTTCTCCAGGGGACAAAGGGACAGGATGACACCATGCTATTAACATGTTGTGATCTTAAAGCTCTTGCCTGCATGATAGCTGTAACTTATTTGCCACCTTATATATACCTCAGCTGTCAGAGAGGCCCTGAGAGCTCAGATCTGCCTGGGGAGTGCACTGACTTACCTACACACACAGAGGAGAATTCTCGTTTTAATGAGTCTGGAAGTTACGTAGCCTTAGACAAATTAAAACCTATCTTCCCTCCCACGCCCGTGATCACGCTCATGCCTCGTACTGTTTGAAATCTCCCATAATTTGGCCTAAAATGTGAGCTAAATAATCTCCTGGGGAGGGAGGTTTAACCCCTCCACACTCAGCTGTGCAGAGGCACCAGGTGCAGTCGCTCTGGGAGTGGGAGATGGAAGAATGCCGGAGCGAGAGGATAAACGAGTTCTTGGGGATCATCTAGGACAGGACAACAGGTGGGATCCGGAGGAGGAGGAACAGGGATTCGTTCAATGAGGTGTTTAATTCTTGCTGGAAAATGATGGGATAAACAACGCAAAGCTATAAAAGACCCACAAGCACCTTCTAAGGTTTCTCATTTTGCCTTGTCGAAGCAAATAGATGGGCTGTTGCTGGTGTAGGCGTTGTGTTACCTGGCCCCAGTCAGAGAGGGGCCATGGTCCAGTGGGTGGAATATTCGTGGGACCAGGATGCTGGAGTTGTTCCGTTCCCGACTGCTGTACTGGTTGCTGCCTGAAACATGGAGGGAGGCAGGGCCTCCTCTCTCGTCCTCTTCCTGCCTCCTGCCTGTTTTGTCTAAAGAACAAGCTTCTGGGGCAGGGACTGTCTCTTCCCATGCACTTGCACACTGCATAGCTCAACGGGGTGTGATTTCAGTGGGGCTTAGGGGTGCTACTGGAACACTGTTGCTGCTGCTCAGTAATAATAGATGACATGGTGGTTAAATGCTGTTGGCTGTCAGTAAGAGATAACATTTAGCACTAATGTAGCAATATGCGTGCTCAGAGCACAGTGCAAACATGGACTAATTAATGCTGTTAACATCAGATAGAGATGTTAAATGTACTGCTGGTGTGATACAGTATTATTCACGCTCTGTTCTTGTCTTTCAGACTTCAAACCCTATTGATGTAGCAGGTAGACCAGGTGCAGTCCACCATACGCTGCTGCAGAAGACTCCAGGGGTAGGCAACAATATATAACCTTCCTTAAAGCTTACCTGGATTTACAGTAAATGTGGGGATTGCTCCCAAGAAAAGGGAGAGCAAGCTGGTGGGCAGATTGGCCTCTGGACTCAGAACATGCAGTCAGGACAGAAGTTCCTTTTTCTGGTGAGACAGTAGCCTCCACCAGTCGTGAATTCAAAGGGATGTATTGGCTTCTTTAAACAAAGTCACAGGGAAATGGGGCAGGAAACCCCTTCAGTACCTTTCCCCCAAGCCCTGCTTGGAGGGTGGTTTTACGCGCTCCATTTCAGAGCGATTACAAGGTTCAGAAAAGCACTGGCACTGTTCAGTTGCTGGCATGAAGCCGCTTTGTTTATCATAAAATTCTGCTGAGTTTGGTTCAAGGAATGAAAGAGAAGTTTTAAGCCTTCTTTAAGCCTTTTAGGTTTCCCATGTCACAGGGGACTTCTGTGGAACATTGCTTTCTAAATGCTTTTACTTGTTCAGAGGAAGGAAGTTCCCCACCTTTCTGTACATTGGCTAGTTTTAGAAAGACTGATTGTTCTATTTCTGCTTTTTCCATAGGTGTCAGACCCTTATAGGCCTCCAGTAAGAGTAAGTAAGGTTTGTGGGGGATTTTATATACATACTCATACACAGACGCTTTGAGTGTCGTGCACGTGCTTTTGAAATTCAACATGTCCAGTAGAAAATTTCACGCTCATCCTTCACTTCAAGCAAAATGTCATCGCTGGCTCTTCACTGCTTCTGATTAATAACGTTTAGGTTGAATCCCAGCCTTATTTTGCATCTATTTATGTGCATTAGTAGTTCACGGTATGAAATAAGGGTCACAGAAATAAATGACTGTGCCATGGGCAGCCATTCACCAGCGAACAGATTCACGGTGGCTTAGGTCAATGAGCCTCTGATGCTCCACATAAACACCCTACAGTGAGTACCACAGCTCAGCTGAAAACAGTGACTTGTTCAGCTGTGGCACTGCTCATCCTGGTGATTGTTTGTCTGAACCCTTTTCCTCCCCAAAAGCAAGTAGCCATAATAACCACGCATGACTTAGCCTGCAGTGCAGCAGGGATGAATGAACAGGGCTCTTTTCAGAAGCAGAACTGTGAACCATTAGTTGCTTTCTCTTAAGCATGGCATACTGTTCTTTGCTGCCATTCATTTCAGTTTATGATGCGGGGAGTGCAAGTAGGAAAGAACAAGGCAGGGATCTCAGATGTCCATGAGATGGGGAAGATATCCCACATTCTTCCTGTTTCCTTCTTAATTTAAACATCATCTGCTGCAGTACAGAAGAAAATGTTGATCACCCATTGTGCCATTTCAGTAATCAGCCTTTCTCATTGCTTAGCTGCCTGGCTGACAGTGAGGGAAATGAAATGTTCTGTCTGATGTAGATTGCTAACGTATAAATTAATCTAAATTCTTGTGCTTTCCATTGCAGAAACCCGGGAAGTGGTGTGCGGTTCATGTACAGATCGCCTGGCAGATCTACCATCACCAGCAGAAGATGAAGGTAATTCAGACAGTTTCTGGAACAAAGCCAAGTCTTTTAGCTGACAGATTGTATTTTAGTGAGTAATGGGCAGGAAACAGTTACTGTGGTGATTCTCAAGCTTGCCTGTATTGATTAACTAATACTTACACTCTTTTAACATTTATTGTAGCAACCATAAAGTTTATCTGAGGGCAAAGGAGCTGGGTTGAAGGGTGGCAGAATGAGCAGTTGATACTAAGTGCACAGCCAGGAAGAGAGGAAAAAAGTGAGGGGAAGAATAATTTTTCTCCAAGTCCATTTTTTTTTTTTCACAAAGCACACACGTTTAATGTCATTTCCCTTCTGTACCTGGTGCCTCCTGTGGAGGAGGGAATGAAATGGCCGATACAGTGAAGAACATATTAACAAAGCACAGAGCAGGGGAGTAGATTGATGGCTGCAGTGTTAGAGGCTGTGGGGCTTCCTGCACTGCTGTGATGCTGGGCAGAGGGAGGGGGTTAAAATTCAAGAGGTAACAGGACACAGGTATACTGGTGAGCTATTACAGGCTCCCTGTGGCAGGAGGAGTAGCTGATAAGGGAGTTTGTGTAGGTTTTATTTTTTCATAGCCAGCCCTTCCTGTAGTTTTTTTGTCCCATTAATGAAGACTATTCGTTGCTTGAGTGGGTGCCCTGTCAGCAGTGCCTCTGCAAGTGGTGTGGGCCCATGTATTTTTATAGGCAAATCTCTAATCTTTAGGCTACTGAGAGACTCCTGTGACTTAGGTGCAGTCCTGGCCGTGCTCACTTCTACAGGGCAAGGATAAAAATAGCCTCTGGAGGAGCCTCATGGCTTTCTTTATCCTTTGCCCCTTGCCTGCGTACTGAGCTGTACTGGCTGCAGGAAGGGCACAGTGTGGGCACGTCTCTCTCTTTCAAACCGGAGAAGCAGAACAGACGAGTCCATCACCCAGCTCTCCAGGCTTCTGTCGGCAGCTTTCTGCCTGCAGAGCATTTTTTGTCAGGCCGAGAGCACCGACTGATCCCGGCGTGCAGAGCACTCGGTGGATCATGTTCCGTGCTCCAGCGTGTGCTCAGGGGCTGGGCTCACTGCAGACCTTATCCGTGGGGATGGGGCCGGAGCCGAGGGGCTGCCGAGCCAAATGGCCCTACAGACGCTGTCAGAGCACGGCTGGGCGACCGCAGACACGGCTGTCACTCTCGCTAACTCTCCCTGGCAGGGCCAAGCAGGAATGAGCCTTAACTCCCTCTCTTTCTCTCCCATAAAAAAGGGAGTCTGTAACGAGGTCGTTTTTATGTCATTTGACAGCAGATGCAGCTGGATCCCCACAAGCTGGAGATAGGTGGTAAACTTGACCTGTTCAGCAGACCTCCCGCCCCTGGAGTGTTTCCAGGCTTCCATTACCCACAGGATCTTGCCAGGCCTCTGTTTTCTACCACAGGTAAGGGGAGATCGTTACTTGTTGAAAAAAAACACCCAACAAACAGTCAGTTGTCCCTACAGCTACATATGCCTCAAAAATAGGAGCAGGCAAGGTTGGTTCAGAGGGGTGTGGATGCTCTGGCCACCGCTGTGACCGGGGCTCTGCCACCACCTCCAGTGCAGGATCCTCTGCACGTCACTGAGCTGCAGCACTTGGCTTACGTTCATGTCTGTGCAGCTGGTTCTTATGTGCCTGATTAATAGGCTATGGAGTGATTTTTAAAAGCAATTTTGACAAAACACTCGAAAATGTTTCCATTGCACGGGATTGGAAGTGGCCCCAGTCTCTTTCTTGCTTTTATATTTGCCATGTTCTTCTCAGCTCCTCCACTCACCAAGTTTCTGTTTGTTTTCTGAAAACAAGGGTTTTTTTGTAAAAGGAAAACTTCAATAACAGCGTTGAAAATATCACAGAAGGTGTATTTGTGAAGTGTTTGGTCTTTAAATAGAAAATTCCCCTGTGTGTTACGAAGTCCAGCAAACTCTAGGGCTTAAAATGGTATATATTGGATTAAAAAAAAAAATAAAACTAGAGAATTAAATACAGTTCACATTGATCAATTGCTTTCCAATCTGTTGGAGAAGTAATTACAATTATGCAGTTACCAAAGGCCAGTAAGCTTCACTGTGCTGTGCTCGCTGGCTCTGACCATGGGAGACTGCAGCTCTGACATTCTGGTTTAGGAGGTCACTGTGGATTCACGTGGATGTCAGTCCACCAAATGCCAAGTGTTGGTTTCATTCTGTTCCCAGGCTTAACCATCCCCCTCGACTTCTTTATCTTTTTTTTTTCTGTGCTTGAGATGCTAAAGTCTGTATTCTGAATGAGCTGTATCAGTTGATGAGATGTGACTTAGCTCTTTATGTATGTAGTTAATTGGCAAATAACGAAATTTCCTTCCCTAGTGTTGCTCTGGTTTTATGATGCAGTGTTGCACAATCACCCTGAGTGCAGACATGGTCATGTGCAGCCTTGGTTCAAGCTGGTGAAATGAATGAGGTTAGAACTGTTTTGAATTCTGTCCCATCAAGACAGAAAAGCAACAGAGGAGGATCAGGCTGGCATTTCTGTGAGAGCTGAGTTTCGAATGCAGGTGTCAGATAGCTTTCAGGAGCCCCACCAGTCGGTCTGTCTTTCTGCTCTATCTGTGGATGGAAATTCTGAAGCATCAAATGCACGTTTCTAGGAGATATAATCAGTGCTGGTGCCAGCTCTACATTGTAGGGTGCTACCCTGTATTTCAGTCTCTATAAAGGTACTTTGATAGCACAGGGCCAAGATATTTATTGCATCTACTTGGGTGCATAAGCACAGCTTCTTTACAATCCTCTGGCTGTTTTCCTATGGCAGGTGCATCCTTATCACTGTCCTCAGTCTGCCCTGTGTTGTCATTACGAGGACCTTGTCTCATGCCTGGTTTTGCACCTGAAGGCTGTTCTGGGCAGAGTTTACCCTGACAGGCAGAAAAGCACCGCTGCAGTTGTTATCTGGAGTTTTTTCTCTTGAAAGATGCGAGCTTTTCATTCACAAAACCAAGAGGGGCAATAGTGGGGGACAGAAACATTGGAGAAAGCAAATTAATAGAAAACTTTCGCCAGAGATAAACAACCTCACAGCATCTTGTCCGTGAGTGTATTAATCACCAGAGGCATCGCTCAGTAAATCTGGGTAAAGAGCGCTATCAACGTGAGCAAACACTGCCGCTGCAACGCAGGGATGAATAAATCTCCTGCTCCGCAATATCCGAGCATTCCTTTCGCCTTATCGAGCACGTGTGCGCTCGCTGTGAATCATTGGTTCTGCTGCATTGCCTGGTTACTGCGGGAGACATAAGTTATCTTAGGGCCACCTGTCTCCAGGACGGATGTTGGGCTGCCTGGCAGACGCTATATTTAATAACTGCCTGACAGCCTGCAGAGCTGCTCCTGGCCTTCTCCGGAGGATTTTTTATTATCAGCCCGTGTAGTTGAGTTTGTAAGCCGTCTCCTTTGAAGAAATCTCCCATCCATTATACACCTTCTGAAATCTTAAAGGATTAGGAAGATGACAGTCTCCATCCGTCTTGAAGCATTGGAGCAGTCAGAATGTTTATAGATAGGTACTAGATAGGCCTCCTTGCTGTGGTCTCTCTTAAGTTTCCTCAACTCATTTTCTGGCTGCTTAGGTTTGAGGTGCCCAAGCTGGTGAGGGACACACAGCTCTGTCTCCTTCTCCAGTTTCATAGTGTGCTCATGTTCTGGCCACATGGCTGCTCTTGTTTGCTAGATTTTACCCGTTATTCTTCCCAGTATTAAGGGAAGGTAAATTTTTACTAACAAGGTATATGAGGACGAGCACTGTAAAGCTTTATGTAGACGTTGGTCTGTTTTGCACATGACTTAACATGTCCTCTGGAAAATGCTGCTTCTGTCATTATGTGGAATTACTAGTTTCTAACAAAATGAGGCAGTTATTGCACAGGTGTGGCAGGTCTTGATTTCTGCGAGGGAGGCAGAAGTTGTGTTTGCATCCAGGCAGCATCTGAAGGTCTGCTCAGCAGTGGTGTTCCTTTCCCACGAGGAAGCACAGCACCATGGCAATGAGCAGTGTCTAGGAAAGGGAAAAAAATACCACAGGGGGAGCCTGTGGATGCAGAGACAGATGTGAGAGCGTAGATGGAGCTCCCATGGGAGAGGCATGATTGATGTTCCCTGCGTGCCTGTCATTACCTGGTGTTTCATATAGACTCTAATCAGTCACTTCCAAGCACCTTCTGTCTGGGCCCATAACCTGAGCTGACCCTTTTTAATGTAAACACAGAGTAATGACTGAAAATGTCAGACAAAGAGATTGGCTTCCTCATTACCACAGGTGAGCAGCAGCGCTCAGTGCAAGGTCTCCTCCTGCCTCCTAGCGCCCAGAGGCTGCTTCAGAGGGCTCCTGGAGAAATCCTGCCTGGTGTTTGGGGTCTCCCCCTGCCTTTGCCATGTTTAAATCTGGCCTTTGCATCCAGTTCCTGAATGTGATGGTCAGGACCCCTGTGTGTGCAGGGAGTCTTGCCCCTGAACTAAAAGGGGTCCTTGTTCTCACAGGTGCGACACATCCAGCCACCACCCCTTTTGGTCCTTCCCCTCACCACAGCAGCTTCCTGCCTACAAACCACTTGGCAGGTAAGTGTAAGTAAACCCTGCCTTCACCTCTGTTCCTCTGAGCCACTCCTGGCTCTCCAGCCCAGTCCTGCACTGTGGCACTGCGGGAGGGAAGGGCTTAGACTGCCTCAGGATCCAGGAGCTGCTCCCCCCTGCCAGCTCCCAGCACATCCCCCCGTGCCCCCCAGGGGAGAGGGGCAAGACTGGCAGACCCTCTCCTGCAAGAGAAGAGGGCATTGCAGAGCAGTCACATCTGTCACTTTAGGGGCATACACAGCAGCTGAAATGGGAGCAGGAGAGCCATTCTGTGCTGCTGAACGTGCCCAAGGAAGTGAGGGAAGTTTATGCAAAGGTACCTCAGACAAGCCTCAGCCTAAAATGGGCTCCTCCCATACCATTTCCCACCGATGGAAGTTCTTGGCTATGCTCTTTAAAAGAGTTCAGGGAACAGTTCCTGGCAGATAGCTGTTCTGCACATTTTGCCAGCCTTTCAGTTTCCTAATTGGCAGTAAGTAGAGCCTGATTTTCTCAAATTTCCTCATTTTAGAAGCTCACAAGCAGCTCATTGCCAATTAAAGTTCAAGCTCTGTTGATTAATGTTTTAGTAACACTCATCCAATCAGTAAATGTGGCATGCCACATGACCTAGTAGACTTTTTTCTGTTGCAAATACCCAGATTTACATCAATTCCTGAACGTTCTGTCAAAATTAACTATCTCTACCGAGTCACTCAACTGCTTAATATCAAAGAGGAAGGGCAAGAACATCTATTTTAAAATAAGTAAATAAGCAAATAGCTGTTTGCTCAAAGATCCAAGCTATTTGTGCCGTTTGCCTTGATATTTTAAATATCGTGATACCTGTGAGGAAGTGGAGAGCAACATATCTCCTCTAACGTGGCAAGTGAAAGACTTTAAAGGGACAGTCAAAAAGCCAGTGGGCAGAAGGAGGAGTTGGTTAGAGACCAGTAGGAAAGAAAACAAGTACACTGGTAAGATTTAACACATAGCTGTCTCTGGAGAAACCCGAGCTGGGTTATAAACCCTCAGAGAGGAACCTCTTTTGGTGATGGGCACATTTACTGGGGGCAAAAAAGAAGGCAGGACTGATTATAAAATGACAATAGGCAAGTAGTCAGATACTTGGCTAGGAAAGGCAAGATAAATCCTCTGCCTCGAAGGATACAAATCTCCCATTCCTTTGTTGTAGCAGATTCTAAGACTGTGCTATTATTTCCACCACCACTGGGATGAAGGAAGCTGTCATGGGAGAGGATTTTGGCACAAACAGGACAAAGTTAGTTGGCATAAGGATGGATGTCATTAGCAATTAGCTTAGAACTGTCTCTGTGCAATATTACTAAAAGAGTAGAAAATTGTTTGCAGAAACAAAGACGATGCATCCCCTCAATGTGCTGGCCGAGGAGCCTGCTGAGATTCTTCTTCCAAGGCAATTGCAATGCTTCTATTAGTGCTGATAAGAAAGGAGAGTTATAGCTCAGCAGCAGCCACCCTAATTTCAGCTATTAGACCTTAATTTCTAGCTCGCTTCTGACTGGCATACAAAAGTTTATTACAGCACCTGTTTGCAGAGTGAGCACTGAATCCCTTCTCCATTTTAACATGATGGGAATTTTCTGTGCAAAGAACCTTGCAATGAGAAGGATCAGCTTAAAGTCTGGCCTAATCCTACTTGGATTCAGACCGTTAAGAAGGGGAGGGGTGCGTTTCATTCTCCAACATTCTTGGCTAAATGCCTGCTAAATCCCTGTTTGCCTTTCCAGATCCATTTAGCAGGTCAAGCACCTTCAGCGGCCTTGGGAACTTAGGCAGCAATGCCTTTGGAGGATTAGGCAGTCATGCTCTGAGTAAGTACTGGCTGGGTTACTGCAGACAAACATCCCTTCCAGAAAAGCCACATGCTAATATTTACAGCAGCTGGTGGTAGTTTTTAAAGAAGTTTAATTCCTAACCTCCATTCTCCTATCTGAAAACACTGCACCTAAGATCTCCAGGTCTCTGCGGTGGGAGCTGTTCTGCGTGTCACACGGATCAGTAGCTGTGCTCTTGTCTCCTCACTGCTCAAGGCTGGGACCTTGTGTGCTCGGAGAGGTGCTGGAGCTGCAGGACCCCACTGAGCTCTGGGACCCTGTGGGCACCTAAAGTAACACCCTTCAGCAGCGAAGACGCATCGTGGAACAGCTACTGATACTAATTCAGCACATAGACCTCCTCTGTAACCACTGTCTGAAGTTTAAATTACCTGTACAAAATAATTTTACTTCAAAGACCATGTTACCTGTAGGCAAAACATGCTTGAGAGCCACACATAAGAGAGTATGCTTATGCATCTCACGGTGCAACAGGAATCAGCTTGAAGATGGATGGAGGAAAATCAAGTGACTGTTCTGAAAAGCCTTACAGCCAAGCTCTATGTTTATACACATGCATACATACCACCAAACAGTCTGGTTTCGTTAACAAAAAAGTCCCTGAATCCTCAGCTGCAGGCAGCTGATTGCTTGTAACTACCCAGAAATTAAAGTTTCTGCCAGTGAGAGGAGCTGAGGAAAAATACTGCTTTTGTGCTGGAACCCTGGCCTGGGGTGGGGGGAGAAGAGGAGCTGGGCATTTTCAGTCATCTCTGAGATGGATGGTTAAAGCTTCCTCCACCAACAGCCTTAAAAGAGCTGGTGGATCTTACACCCAGCGTTGGCCTTATCTGTGTCCACTCGCCAGAAGCTCCCCCTCACCATTAAAATCTCATGAAAGGGCAGTTCTGGTTGTGATGAGCGTTGTGAAAAATGTCTTTGTAATTACTTGGTGGGAATTCTTTTTAACTCTTCCTCCCCCCCCCCGCTGCTGTTCCAGCTCACAACAACATTTTTACCCACAAAGATGGCCCAAACCTGCAGAATTTCAACAATCCCCATGAGCCATGGAACAGACTCCACCGGACCCCGCCGTCCTTCCCGACACCTCCGCAGTGGCCCAAGCCCACGGATTCGGAGCGAAGCTCCTCGGTGACAAACCACGACAGGGACAGGGAGCGGGAGAGGGAGCCTGAGAAGAGGGATCTTTCTCTGAGCAAAGACGACAGAGACAAAGAGAGGTGAGCAGCCTGGCCCTCTGAGCACTTCCTTTTGGGGCTGTTTTTCCTAATTTTTCTGAAGTGTTGCTTGTCCCCTAAAGCAGCTGACAGGCCTTTTCCTCGGATAAGCACAACCAACACGCAAAGGAAAAAAAAAAGCTCTTTGCCTTTTAGGATTTTTTCCTCTGTGGAAATAAGCCAGTCCCTGCTAGTAGGGTAATAAAAAGCACCAGGCTGAGGAATTGAGTGTGTCGCTGTGTTTTCAGGGGATACTTGACTGTTTTCAATGCAGCTGCTTTAGGATTGCTGTGTATTCTGAAATCGTGAAGGGTAGCATTGTGATGGGTCCTTTGGAGACAGTCATAGTTCTCATTAATGTACAGATATGCTGATGAATTCAAATGTTAGCTGGACATTAACGAGATAAAAATGCAAATGCCTGTATCTGGAGCAGTGTGCACGAATCCATTAGCAAAACTGATCTTAAAAATTGCATTGTAGGCAAACCCTTATTAACGACGACAGTACTGTATCACCTGGGCTATAGTTACTTCATTAGCTTCCAGTTATGTGATTTTAAAGATGTGAAGCCCTTTGTATTTCAGAGCCCAGTTGTCTCCAACAGGCTACTTCTTTGTAGGCAATAACAGCCTGCAAGTCTTAGATGTGTGTGCTTGACTGGTGTTAGGGGGTTCATGGCTTGCCTGGAGTGCTTTTAATGAGATCTTCAGGCGGTACTTGTGAACAAGATTATATGGAAGCAAAAGGCTGAAAATCATCTTGCTTCAAATGTTAAATTCTCTGACACTCCTTGCACGGATAGGAAGCTCCCTTCTTGGCTCTAGTGGAATTCATTTGCAAACCAAGGTTACTTTACTCTCAGGAGTGCTCACCTAGGGGTTAACAGCTCTATTACATTTCTCTTAATTCAGCTTAAGCTGTCCCCAGCATCCCTGTTTGGTCATGGCTTTCATAAACCACATCCTTGCCCAGCAATCAGGACGACCACAGAGGAAGAAATCTGGGTTAGCAAACGTAATCACAAGAGATAAATACTTACACAGCTCCCCAAAACACCTCCAGCTTTCAGTACTCGGGTCTTACAGCTCTGGAAAGCAAACCCAGCTTAAAAACTTAGGTGTCAGTGAGCCTCTCAGCTGCATATTGCAGTTCTCTCAATCACACCATCACATTTTGCAGTTGAAGTGTCTCTCATTCAGAGCTAAGTGCTTTTAGAAGGTGAGCATTATTTATTCCCCTCTCAAAGAGGTGGGATTAACTGTGACTAATTGGCTTGCTCAGAGGCAGAGGTGCAGTTGAAATGTAAACCCTCGTGCCTCTCTAGACTGGGGACGTTGTCATCAAACCCCTTGTTCATCATAGCAGGTCCTCTTGAAACAGAGGTCGATTCCTCAGTTTCGTAGATGTTTGTCCTATAGTGCATGTCCTTTGGTGTAGCATCACAGCTATAGCTGATGCTGGCAGAGCTTTCCAAATCATTTTCAAAGCAATCTTGAAGTTTAAAGCTGGACAGAGCTCTGTGCACGTCCCACATTGCGGGGATGTTGGTTCATACGAAACCAAGGCTGTACCTTCTCTCTTTTTGCAGAGACCTCATGGATAAAAACAGACATTCAAACAGATCCTCGCCGGCATCAGCTCCAGTGACACATCAGATAAGCAATCTCATCCGCAGCAACAGCCAGACCTCCAGTGATCCCATCAGGCAGGTCAGCCTCGGGGAGAGGGAAAGGTCCAAAGAACCCGAACGGGAGCACCCGGAGCGGCTGCGAGAGCCGCCCATAGCGGAACACAAGATCAAAGAGAGCCGTTCCCCAGTGAAGGAAACCCCAAGCCATGAAAAGAGACCCTCTGAGGACAACACAAAGCCAGTGATCCAGTCTGTATCCCCATACAGCAAACCTGCACTAAGTGAGAGCCTGAAGCTTACCAATCTAATGAGCAAGGACATGGAGAGAAAGACAGAGCTTCCCAGCGACCTCCAGAAGATTAAGAACGACATCAAAGTCAAAGAGGAGAGGAAGGAAGACAGTGACGTGCTGGTGGTAGGGTCTGAGCCTTCACAGCACTCCCGATCAGTGGAGCATCCCCCACCACCCACTCTCCATGGATTATCATTGCCTCACTCGATGGCTGCCTCCATGCCCATCTCCATGGGCAGCGTGCACCAGATGAACAACATGAATGTCCTGGACCGCAGCAGGATGATGACCCCGCTCATAGGCATGAACCCTTTGTCAGGAAGAGAGAGGCTGCCACATCCTGGATTTTCTTGGGACCCGATGAGGGACCCGTTGCGAGATGCCTACCGGAGCTTAGACCTGCACCGTCGAATGGACTTCCAGCTCCGGACGGATCCTATCCATAGGTTTCCTACCACCTCTGGCTTTTACGACCACGAGCGATCCTACAGGGACAGGGAACCCCACGACTACAACCACGAAAACCTTCTTGAGGCCCGCCGAGAGCAGGAGCGGTTGCGGCAAGTGGAGGAGCGGGAGCGCTTGCACTTACGGGAAGAACTTGAGCGTGCCAGAATGCACCACTTGCACTCGTCCCCCATCGAAAGTCACCTGGCACACGTGCCATCCTTCATGCCTCATTTAAGCGGGATGCATTACCCCAGACTGAGTCCATCCACTGCCATGCACAACGGGATTCTGAACAGGAACCCGCCGACCGCGGCGCTGAGCGCGCCACCGCCTCTCGTCCCAGCCAGCAGCACCAGACCTGCCTCCCCACGCAGGACTACCCCACTCACAAACTCAGAGTCCAGGGACTACTCCCCCTCTAGGAACCCCAAAGAAGTAGAGGCACGATAGTCCCCAACATCGAATTTTAAACTCACCTGTACAT